TATTTCACACTGTCTTCCCTCTGTACCTGTCCGTCTGTGTCCAAATGTCTCCTTTTTATAAGGACACCAGTTACATTGGGTTAGGGCTCACACTGGTGTCTCATTTTAATTTGATTACCATCATAAAGACCCTATTTCCAAACAAGGTCACATTCTAGGGTGCTAATGGTTAGGGCCTCACCATATCTTTTTCGGGGCGATACAAGTCAACTCACAACAGAGAGCTTTTGTGGGAGAATTAGAACTTGACGGCTAGGTGGTGTTTGCTTATGTTCAAAAAAAGCAAAGCTTTCTAAGTGATAGAACTGATTTTTGAAAAAAGGAATAATCGTGTTTGTCCAAGATGAAAAATGGTATGACCTGACTTAAGAAGTCTGGTGGTGCACTGTTGATGGGATTGCACACTGGTGCAGCTCCTATGGAACACAGTATAGAGGCTTCTCAAAAAATTTAAACTAGAACTACCATATGACCCACCTCTGGGTATTGATTCAAATAAAATTAAAACACTAATTTGAAAAGATACATGCACCCCTATGTTTTTTTGCAACATTATTTATAAATCTTTCTGTTTGTGACAGCATAAATGGACCTAGAGAGCATTACAATAAGTGAAATAAATCAGACAGAGAAGCAAATATACCATGTGATCTCACTTATAATGTGGGACCTAAAAAATAAAACAAATGAACAAAACTGAAACAGACTCAGACATAGAAAACAAACGAATAGAAAGGGGTGGGGGAAGGGCACAAGAGGTGAAGGAGAAGAAGAGTAACACATTTCCAGTTATAAAATTGGTAAGTCATGGGGATGTAATGTTCAGCATAGGGAACAGAGTCAGTAATATCATAATAACTTTATATGGAGTCAGATGGTTACTAGATATCATGGTGATCACTTTGTTAGGTACGTAAATGTTGAATAACTATTTTGTACACCTGAAACTAACATAATATTGTATATTAACTACATTTTAATAAAAATTAATTTTGAAATAAAATAAATAGCATAGCAGTTTCATTTTTCAAGGAAAAGTTGTGGTAGTGGTGGTGATGATGGTGATAGTGACCAACACCTGTGAAAATGCGTCTTTTGCTGGACCAACTGCATTCCATGTGCACTGTTCTCTGAGCAGCCCTGGAGGAGGCCATGGTGCTGTAGACGAAGAAATGGTGGCACGGAAGAGTTAGGTCATTTAACACATCATGGAAACTTTGAAGGCAGAGGATAGGGGTGGCTGCTCCCAAACTTTGGCCTGTTACCACGGTGATCTGCTGCGTGCCTCATGGCACGAAGGTGAGTTCATCTTGGATGAGGGACTGGGTCTACTTTATCAAGGACGTTGATAAGGTTGTGGAGTTGTGTTTGATGTTACAGAAAATAGAAAACCGTTCTCAGTGTCTGAAGATGTGTGACGTGATAAATGTGGTATTTGCGAGAATAAGTATGTCATTTCCACCTGAGGGTACGTTGTCTTTAGGAAAGACTTATAAATGAGAGAAGCTATTGACCATGAAGAGTTTCTTTTCATAGGGTTTCATCAAATGATTTGCCTCTTTCCCACTTAAGCAAGAATTTCCTTTATCGCTTTAAAAAGTATGCTCTGGCGATCATCTCTTATGTAGACTGTTCTTTGGAAGTTCTCCGTAGGAGTGTATGCATTGATCATTCCATCGCCGGGACACACATGGTGCTGAAGGAATGTTTCCTTGAATCATTAACTCTATACGTTCACATTTCAGTTCAGTATTTTTTTTTTTAATTGTTTGCTTATTTGTTTATCTTAGCACCTTTAGGAACCTCATTTCTGGAGGCTCAAAGTGTAATTTGTGATGTATATACTGATTATCTTTCTCTCTGGGTTTTCCACTTATGCTTATAGTAGAGAAAAAATGTATGTGAGGAGGAGGGTGAAAGTATTGGCAGGGAAAGGTAAAACATAGAGAGCATTTTACTCTGTACAAATTAATTTCCACATGCCTTCCCAGTCGAATCAGAGTGGACATGTAATTGGTGAGTAATGGAGTCATCGTGGTTTTTCTATAACTCTACATTTGGTTTGGGGGCCACAAGAAAATCAAGTTAAACCTCATTATTCCTTGTAAGATGACGTACGTGTAAATTCCCTCCCCTGGCAATACAGATCTGGATCAGTGTCAAAAACATACGCCTTCCCCAAATCTTAAGCTGTCCAACCTCCTTCCCTACCTAAGATTGCCTGATAATATCATAGAAAATTACACTCATGTTCGCAAAAAACTCGATGACTTCTTGACTGTGATAACCCTGATATGTATGAGCCAGCATTTTAGTCTATGACTGTAATCCCCTACTTACTTCTCCGTTGGGATATCCTTATAACAAGCTCGTCCAAGCCGGGCCCCTGTAAATCTTACTGTGGTCACACAAGAATATATTTGGATGGTAGAATTAAAACAGATTTTGGGCTCAGCTGGCATGGCTCAGTCGTTGAACATCGACCCATCCAAGAGGTCACTGGTTCAATTCCCGGTCAGGGCACATGCCCAGGTTGAGGGCCCGATCCCCAGTGGGGGGCATGCAGGAGGCGGCCCATCGATGTTCTCTCTCATTAATGTTTCTATCTTTCCTTCTCCCTCCCTCTCTCTAAAGTCAATAAAGAGAAAGAAATTTAAATAGATGTTTGGTCTCCAGGTGGAGAGAAGAACAACAGACCGAGAGAACGCTGTGTAGTTTTATTTCCTGGCTTTGATGGTGCAGTACATGGCCTTCCAGGAGATCTGGGGTCCTACCAGTCACTGCTCAGACACGACGCTCCATCCACAAACAGCTGTCCAGAACTAATTTATTTCCTAATGCTATGGCACTGTTAATTTATAAATTACACTGGTAATTCAAGCTATTATTAATTTCAGATGGTGTAGGGCAAGCCTAATTAAAATATGACATCAATTGCCACACATATGTACCAAAGACTACCATTTAAAATTAATGGGAATATTAAGTGTGACACTGGTCTCCGAGATGCTTTGCACAGTAATTACAGTGTTCCAGCAGGGAAAGATCTGACAAATGCAGGCTCGGGTCTGGTAGCAAGTAAACAACAAGATAAAAGGAGTCACAAATTCTTCATGCAAACCTCTGCCCCTGCTTTTCTTTGTCCTTCCCCAAATCAAGATTAGTGCTCCCCCCCGCCCCCGAAAGATGCTTAGAAAAGAATAACAAAACGTGTACTCTGACAAATAGGAGTTTGTGACTGGTTGGGACTTCCCCTGGGCTCATGTTGATTGTCCTCTCCACATCTCCACATCCTGGACTTTTTGGCCCTGTTTTCTGTTCATGAACACGTCCCTGGGTCTTCCTGGGGATGTGTAAGTCTTGCTTGCCTTGGTGGCCGGAGGCGGTGCTTTGCTCTCCTGCAGAGAGTGGAGGTGAGTTTCAGCACATTGCATGTGGGCTTCATATGGCACGTGGACACACGAGGAAGTGCCCGCGTGGGGCTGATCACGGATGGTGGCTCAGAGTTATGTCCAACGAGTGGTGGCAGAGCTGGGCAAAGAGTGGCCCCCTTTTACAAGATAGTGTTTTGTTATTGGGGTCGTTGTTACTATTACTGTTGTTATCTTGACCACAATCGGCGACCATCACATCACATAACAGATGTGACTCTGACTTACATACCACATGTATCATTCTTTGTATTATATTCGTTGCTCACTGTTGTTATGTTCATGCTCGGGAACAGCAGAGCCATGTGGCGGTACAGAGTGGTGTCACTTGGAGAGAAATTCTCCTTCCTCGCCTTTATGTTCATGGGGAGGCACGCGTGTCCGGACAGCTTCCCTGCAGGGAGCCTGGGCCTCGGGGCGGAGCGCCGCATTACTAACGAAAGCACAGGTGTGCAGCCTTGAAAGTTGGAGGGTGCTTTCCTGTGTACATACTTTTTCATTTGTCACCCCAACAGCCCTCCGAGGTTTTGCGGTTGTGTGTATATTCTGCCTGGGAGAAGGTCTCTTCATTGCTAGTGACAGTCTCAGTAATGTTGGGTGCCCCATAGTAACTGTTAAGGGCACCCCTTTTTATTCCTGAAAGTATCTATCCTCATTTACATGATAAATGTGTCATTGTGCTGATTTCTTCATTTAACAAAGGAGACAGCATGCTTCCCTGGGATGGGAGCAGTTACTTCTGTTCTCCGTTGCCTTTCTGCAAAGAGACTGGAGCTCAGCGTGACGTGGGAGAAGACCAAGACATCTGTCGCCGAGGCTTTAAGGTCATGGTCTTTCCATGATCAGATGCTCGCGGCCAGACCTCAGGCGGGAAGTCTGGTGGGTAGAGGGGGGTTGCGGTCATGCACAGTGTTTCCGCACAGAAACCGCTTCTGAGGATGATGGCGCGACAGTGAGCCACGTGACCTGTCTTTCCGCCGTGTTTGTGATTGGAGTGTGGAGTCCCCGCTGTTGGCTTGTCTTCAGGATCCCAAGAGCTCCAGCAGATCGAAGTTTAGAGAATTGGTTTTTGCTTATCAATTGAGCGTCCAGCTGTCAAAACAAATTAAATTCTATTTTATTAATGTTTCCACTGCCTTGGTGGTGTGTGTGTAACTGCTATTGCGGTATTTCTGATACATGGTCTGGTCCTTAGCTTCACACTACAAGGTTCAGTCTGAATGACACCTGGGGATCAGAAAGAGTTTATATACACCGGAGATGCCCGACCCGGCTCCCAGGGCCTGCCTGCTTGGTCGGGTCTGGGCAGTGTCACTGTCAGAACCACAGGTCACTGATCGAGGACCAGATTCGCTAGGCACTTGGTTTAGTCCACGGAGCAGACAAGCATGTGAGCCAGTCCACGGAGCAGCCCAGGAACGTGGCTGGCGGGGCTGGCAGGAGGGAGGGGAGTGTGAATCACGCAGTTCTTGGGACTCTGAACTTAGAAGGGGCAGACATGTCATACTTTGGTTTCTAAGAGTGTGCTTTCGGTGTTTTTCTCCTCTTTTATCACACCTTCTCCTGCAGCCGTGGGCTTTGTGAGTGAAGATGAGTACCTGGAGATCCAGGGCATCACGAGGGAGCAGTCCGGGGACTACGAATGCAGCGCCTCCAACGACGTCGCCGCGCCAGTGGTGCGGAGAGTGAAGGTCACCGTGAACTGTGAGTGGCGTCAGGAACGCCCCCCTGTGCGCATGGCGGCTGCTGTCGTGGCCACAGAAAGCTGGGCTACAGGGCCCCTGCTGGCCTGGGGCGGGAAACGATGCGGCATCATTTTCCATTCTCTGCTTGTCAGAGCAACAATTTCAAAATCTAATTTTAAAAAAATTGTACTTGAAAGTAATATGATCCCAAACTGGACTTATCATCCCAGAAGATCATTAAATAGCACTCAGTGCATAATTTATGGAAGTGTGCCTTTGAATCCCAGTTTCTCCCTTAATTTACTCACGATGTCCCCAAGCATCTCACTGTCTAAATGAGTCATCTCCATACTGGGCAGTAAAAATACCGTGTCTATGAAAGAAATATACAATTTCTATTTATGGCATATTTATCTCATCTTTGTACAACTGAATATGTTAATGTATGTAAACATTCATAATTTACCTATAAGTAAACATACACATATTAGAGAGTGTATCTCAGAACCTGATTTTGACTAATAGAGCTACAGAATCCAGGCGGTTTGGAGACCACTGTTCTAGGTCACTCATTCTCCCGTGTCAACTGTCCTGATGCTCTCTGACATTGACACTGCTCAGCTGTCACCTCTCACCCTTCCCCCACTGACTCCTCACTGCGTCCACGGACTCAGTTCTCTGTGACTTTCTGGACGTTTCTGTCTTAGGACAGAATAGAACCCCGGAACTAAACCAGCAAGCAGGAACCCTTTCTTCTTCAAAAGATGGGTGGGTGGAGGGAGAGGAAGAATATTCTTCACTTTCCTTACTCTGATATTTTGGTTTCTGTTACACCTTGAAACTAATTAATACACAACAGTTCCAGAAGCTAGAAAGTAGGTATAACAATACTACCCTTTTTTGTGTTCTATGACACCTTTTTTAAGGAACTTAAATAACCTACAGTTCATAAAGACTAACCTAAGGAGAAGGAAATATAAGCAAAGGGGAAACATATTTAGAGAAATATGTAAAATCTAGGGATAAACCAGCCCGTGAAATATATACCCCGGGTCCAGAACCCGGGTTTGAGTTGCTAAAGCAAAGAGAGGGAATGCCATCTTTTTTAAGGTTTATGTCCATCAGACAAAAGCAAACTAGTTGCTTGGGAGAAACACTGTTTTTCCTGGTACTGAGACCAAGGAGATTTTTATATTTAGGGTCTCCACAAATAGAACAATTTGAAATATAATCAACAACATTGCACACAGTGTTTCTGCGTCAAACAGAATGGCACGTTGGTTACGGCTGTGTCACAGTCACTTCGCAGCACACGGCTGGAATGTTCAGGCATTGTTAGGGAAGCGTCAGATGAAAGCTGGCCAGGTATGCAGGTCTGGGTGGGTCTCGTTGATCCAGGAATCCATTTTAGAAGACCTAGAAGAAGACTGATCTGTATATCCTTCGGGCAGTTCTCTATGAATACTATTTCTTGCAACTAAGCTTTTGATGGGAATTGAATAGTATGAGGTTATATACTCTGGCAAGAACCTGGTTTGCAGAAATTCTATGAGGCTGATTAAAAGTGCTGTCAACCCATGGAGTGTAGGGTTGATGGGTTGGCATCACCCTGTGAAAGTTAAAAAGTTTAAACAGAAAGGAGGCCTGACTACCAGGTCACCCCCTCTGTTCGGAAGGGAACAGAAGCATCCCACGCTAGGAAGGCAGTTGTCCTTAGAACGATCTTGAGCGGTTTCATTCCGCAGCGCAGTGCGTGCAGTGATTTGCCAGCTGAAGTAGGTGCGGTCGATCAGAGAGAAGAATCGAGTCGGCGAGGGAAGCAGCGGCCTTGTTTGAGATGGCAAATGCTCAGGACATCTTCTTTCTGCAGATCCGCCGTACATTTCAGAAGCTAAGGGTACAGGCGTCCCCGTGGGACAGAAGGGGACACTGCAGTGTGAAGCCTCCGCGGTCCCCTCAGCAGAATTCCAGTGGTACAAGGATGACAGAAGGTAAGGCCTTCCTGGGGCACGGCCCTCCCCCAAACCCCGTGGCATCTTTTCCAGGTTCCTTGCTCCACATGGTCGCTAGGAAACCCGGTACCATCCTCCCTGAACGCCTCCTGCCTATCGGGGGAAGCCACATCCATCAAGTCTCTTCCCAATAGTCATGGATCTCAGCTAGGTTTCCAATGCTGCCATGCAGAATTAACTCTCGCCAACTAACAATCCTGAAAGAAACATGTTTTAGGACAGCAGGATCTCCCAGGAAAGGCCACCGGGAGCATGGGAGCCTGTGGATTTTTTTATAGCCCAAGAAAAGAACATGTCCTTTGTAACGGTGGCAGCTGGCCGAGGTGTCAGGACTGCTCAGGGCCCTGGGAGACGCTGAGACGTTGGCTGTAGCGAGAGGTCGCAGTTTAGTTTCAGACACGGTCCATATTGGTTCATCAGAGTCCGTGTCACCATTTAGCCCTCCCCTTGCACCCGGGCCGTTCTTCACTGTGAGAAGACAGGGCACTGCTCCCTTTCCTCGCGCGGCCGCAGCCTCCGCTGGGACATTGTTGTGATTCGCTGGAGGTCGCCCACGAAGGACACAGCACATGGCCTGTTCGCACAGGGTCCAGCAGCTTGGTTCCGCCCAGCAACACGATCATGGCTGTACAAGTAGCTGTTTTAGGAGAAACCAATAACGGATAAATGTGCAAGAGCCGTGCATATTCAGAGCACTTTTGTAAAAATGGGGAAAGGGTGATGCAAAAAAGTCCTGACATATATGTGGGGTAGAGCAGGGGGAAGGCGTTTCTGAGGCTGAGAAGCTGAGAAGAACAACGAAGAGTGTGATGGCGAGGAGAGCGTGTGAGGCAGCTCCAGGCCAGGACGGGCCCAGCTGTTGTCCACGCGACCAGAGCGTCTGCAGCGGGCTTGTGCTTAGCTCTTTATGAGGCCAGTCAGATGCCAAAAGCTCTTCTGGTCTCTGAATCAATCACTAAGTTTGTCTAGGACCAAGTCCCTCAGTCATAACATTCATTGTGTCCCATCATAATCCTTTCAAAGACATGCAGTGTGTTTTCACATTTAAGGACACAGTTTGGCAGCCTCTTTGTGAGGTGTACTTATTCATCTGGCCCATTTTACAGATGGAAAAACTGAGGCAGAAAGAGGAAAACAAACTCATAAAGAGAGAAGAAGAGGTAACTGGTTTTCCCTCCTTTTCCAAGAATTCAGAACCGAGCAGAAGGGAGTAACGTTTTTCCAATAAATAAACCTGGTTATGTTGCTTAGAAATCTGCTTTCCTTTCCCCTCCTGCCCTCCCTGTTATTGAAGGCCCTTTTATGAATGTGTAATATCAGAAGGAAACAGCAACAACTCTGGAGCCCTGGGTCAGTTCCCAAACCTTTCATTGTCTAAGTCTTCACGAAAACTAATCAGATGGCTTCTCCTTGTTCGAATTCTCTTACGGAGGCAAAGTGCAATGGAAATGTTGGGAGCGCAGGATCTCACACCGTGGGGAGCGGGTAGCACAGGCCGGTGCCAGAGCAACCAGGGGTGAGGAAAGGAAGACAGGGCCCGGCGGGCAGGGCTGCTGTCGCTGCAGGGGCTGCGTCTCTGCCAACACTCACCCGGGAAGAGGAGTCAGAGCATCACCAAGGCCCTGGCTCAGGCATCGCCGATTCTTCCTTTGTCTGAGTGCTTCTCGTGGTGGCTTCGTTCTCCCCTTTAATTAACTCTGGTCAGTTCTCCACTTGCTGCTCATTTATTTATTCCCAGGGTTCTCCCACTGAATGGAGTTGTCTGTCCTCCCAGCGCCCAGTTTAACAAGAACATCTCTGCCTCAAGGTCCTTGTCACTGCCCGCCCCTCCCACCCACTGGCTGGCAGGGACCTCCTCCAGGCAGGTCTCCGAGGGCACAGTACATCCGCCTGGGGAAGATCAGCTCTAACCCAGCTCACACTTCCACGAGAGGAGTGGATGAGGCACATCACAGGACTGTGTGCTGGGACAGCAGTGTTCTCGACTTTCAGGGTAAAAGCGTCTTTTGACTACATAGTAGCACCAGTCATTGCTTGCCACTGTGTGCGACATCAATCAAAGGGAGAGAAAATGGAATGCTGTCGTTAATAAGGGCCACCCTTCCGTGGGGACGTGAGCCAGTACAGAGCCTGCAGGTTCATTAAGCAACTGAAGCCTGGGAGCAGTGTGGGACGGGAAGGTGTGACCGCAGAGAAAGGCCGTGTGCCCTCCTGGAAGCCACATAGCGGTGCGGGCTGCTGGCACTGCGTTCAGCCACCGACACTTTGGAGCTGTCCAGTAGGATCCTGCTTCGGTGAGTGTCTCCCCACGACAGCGCCCAGCTCCGGCTCGGCTGTGCTGTGAAGCCTGTCGCAGCCCAGGAGTGGCATCAAAATGACAAGTGGGGTCAATAAGCTGGAGGACGTCTCAGAAGCCTCCTGATGGGGGCGCTGCAGGACCTTGTCTGGACAGCACCCCCTAGAGGATCCATGTTTACATAACAAGCTGCAAATGTGACTGGCGCCTGGCGCACAGCCGGACTCCCCGTTCCATGGGGACAGTGCTCACATTTTAATGAAGTTCATGGGCTCAGGCCAGTTCACTGCCCCTAGAAAGAAAGGCTCCCAGAGGAAATTCAACCTAATGAAAAATAAGGCAAGTTCCTCCAGCCAACCCCTGACTTCCCTGGAGACAGATGCTGGTGAGAACTGAAGCCAGACCTGACCTCTTCCGGTCACCGGGGCCATCCGTTCTGGCAGAGGAGAGAATCAGTCTGGAGTCCTGCAGAGATGACACCTTCAGATAATGACAAAGCAGCTGCCCTCTATACCAGTCCTGCTGTGACCCAGGGACGGGCAGTTCTCCACGTCCGACTCCGTGAAAATATGTTAGATTAAATACCATCTGATAGTTTACAAAGCATTCTCTCGTCATTGTCTTGCTGAGCTTCACTTCCCCTTCCCGCCTTGGATACTGACTGCCTTGCTTGGTGTGACGACCCTGACACCAGCCATGCGCCCTCAGTGGTGGCCCCAGAGCCTGCTGCAGTGCGTGTCCCCCTGGACGCCGTCGGCTCTCCACGCGGCCGCTCTCCGCAGGCGCTGGAGCTCATGAGCATGTTCCCCGAGACCCTCCGTGCGGAAGGGTTTGTTTCACCGACTCGCACTCACTTTTCCCAAAACCTAGACTCAGCTTCCGGCAGGGAAGAGAGACTGTTTCAGGGAAGGAGCAAGGTTGGCTCAAAGCCTGTCTCGGAAAGAGGGCATTCCAGAGCTTTGCAAAGGAAGAGGGTTGGGCTCACGGTTTCTTTCTTTACTTTTTAAAATATGGTTTTGATTTATTTTATTACAGAGAGATAGAAACATCGATGTGAGAGAGAGACATCGATTGGCTGCCTCCTGCACGCCCCCTACTGGGGATCGAGCCCACAACCCAGGCATGTGCCCTGACCGGGAATGGAACTGGGACCTCTCAGTCCATGGGAGGACGCTCAGTCCACTGAGCCACACCGCCGGGCTCATTATTTCTGTGTAGACGTGCAGTTGTGTTGCTGCTAAAGACCTCCTGCGGTGGGGATATGACCTCACCTGCGCTCACAGCAGCTTTCTCCTTACGCTGTCCCACTGCCCAGCCGTGGAACCCATGGTTTAACCCGTGGAACCTAACTGCTTGCCTCACTAACTGTCTGTGGCGCTTCTTTAGTGGCTCCTTCCACCAGTATGAGCCGTGGCACATCGGACTGCCATCGCGGTTGCTCAGGGGCACGGTCCTGGAGCCCTAGGGTCACATTCTCAGGAATCTGTGATATCTCCCAGACTGAGCTGCGGTGACACTCCGGGCAGATCACCTCTCTCAAGCTCTTCTGAGTCTGCTGATTGCAAAGGACCCTGGTTCTTGTTCCTGCTTACAGCCCAACGTGAGGCACGGTGTGCAGAATGCCTGACTCTTAAGGGACATTTTTATTACCCAGGTGCTTGAAAACCAGCTTTTTTTCTTCAAACCCCACGGGTTATTCTTCTCTCTGAAGTTTGAGTTTTTCATTTTCCTGGTGACCATCATCATCACCATCACCGTTTCCTTTAACATCATCATCAACGTTAATTAGGTCCACACATTTGAGCACCTACTCTGAATGTCATGCAGCTGGAACATTCTATTGCGGAAGGCACCTGCCTTCAGAGCTCTTAAATGTCTGTGTAAGGAGGCGCGTGTCTGTGTAGTGCCACAGGTGTCTCCAGGCACATGCATAAACGCAGAGAAACACAATTATATGCGTCGTTGTGTGTGAACCTACCGTGCAGCCGAAGTGGAGAAAAGCGTGTGTCCTGTTGGAAGGAGCAAGTTGGTGATCATTGATTCCACAGCCTGTCTTCCTCCTACGAGAAAAGTGTAACCGTCTTTTCCTCTCTCTCTCTTCTTTGTCTTAGGCTGGTTGAAGGGAAGAAGGGGGTCAAAGTGGAAAATAGACCTTTCCTCTCAAAACTCATCTTCTTCAATGTCTCCGAACACGACTACGGGAACTACACCTGTGTGGCCTCCAACAAGCTGGGCCACACCAATGCCAGCCTCACGCTCTTCGGTGAGACAGCCTGGCATGGGCAATGAGGGAAGGGAAGGGTGGTGTGGAGGAGGAGGGGGTGGGGAGGGAGGCCCGGGAGGAGGAGAATCAGAAGTCCTTAGGCTGGGGGGAGTGAGGAGAGGAAGAACCAGGCTGAGCGAGCGAGCACGTGGGAGTAGGGAAATGTTCCCTCTCATTCTATCATGGGAGCAATCCCGAGGCAGGAGAAAAGGATTTGGGGATGCTGAAGTGACATTTAGTTCTTTCTCCTCAATGATATCTCCTAAACTGACTGGGGATTATAATTGGGTGTAATACTAAGGGGCCCACGGAGGAACACTTACCATATCCATACTTTGTTCACCGGATTAGTGTAAAATGTTGCCATTTCTGAAACTTTTTCTGGCCATTGGGACATAAGAGAAATGGAATTCTATTTAACGAGTAGAATGGCGGCCTTGGTTTCAGAGGGACAATGACAGAGAAAATGGGGATTTCCTAGTTTTCCATTTGTATCAGAGGTGTTGTCTGGCTGGATTAAGAAATGTTTGTTCAGCCACGCCACCCTCAGTGGCATAGTCATTCATGCCCTGAGTCATTAAGCAACTATTTACCGAAGGGCTAACTGTGTGAGACAAATGGCTGTGAGTGGGACAGCGACACAGACGTGACCGGGATGAGTGTCTGGGCATCAGGCCTCTGGTGGGGACTTGCATCCTTCCGCTGCAGTCTTCCTGGGAGTCACAGGGGTAATTTCTGGTTGAATTGGGGGCAAATCCCTCCAGACCTCACCACGTTCAGTTAGCACATTTTTCAAATCATTTCTTCTCCATCTCCCATGTAACAAGCACTCTGGGATGTGTTGAGGAGGGAAAGGTAAAGCACAGCTAATTGGCAGGAACACAGATTCCTTTTATTCTGAGAACTCCCAGATAATCCCATAGCTTCAGGTACCTCACCCCACCCCCGGCTCTGCCCCATCCCCTCCATGGCGCAGTGTGTCTAGCCTGCCCTACTGGTCCGCCTGTGCTGCCCATTGTCTTACCCCTGCTTCCAAATCACATTCCATCTTCCTTTGACCCAGACAGAAACCAAAGCCAGCTCCATCCAAGAGAGCTGGTGGGGGAGGCTGCCCGGACCCCGGAGCGGGTGCCGGAATGGACAGCGTCGAGATGAGGGTGATTGATCTGTCTGACATCTCACACCGGGAGTCATAATTGCCTCTCACATTTGTCAGGCCTTTTTTGGCTTTCGGACAGGTGTCTGTCTGCACAGACGAAAGGGCCAGGATTAGAAAGGAAGGTGCCCTCCTCCCCTTGCCTTGCAATTCCTGGCTGCCCCACCCACCCAGCCACCCAGCCAGGGGCTGCTGTCCGCCCACAGCGGCCGTGGCTCCCAGACAGTCTCCCTCCACCTTCGACCTCCTCCCCCTCCTGATTGGGATGAAATGAAAGAGCGTCGGCTCCATCGCTCTTGTCCAGTTCCCTGGCTTCTTCCCCGTGAGACACCGTAAGATGAGACCAGGGAGAAAAGAGGTTTGAATGTGAAATAAATGGCACGTGTGACCAGACGTGCCGTGAAGGGTGTGGCTGAGTCTGCTCTTTCCAGCAGACCTGGGGAGATCCCTGCACCTCTGCCCCATCCCCCCCGGCGCCTCCACGGTGCTGTCCGCATTCACCCTGTGCCATTGGGACATTTCCACCATTTCCAGCTTTCTGGAGTCCGGGGTTCTCTTAAAAAAAAAAAAAAAAAAAACATGAAAAGTGATATTATGTATTGAAACAAGTTTGGGAAATCTGGGTCAAACCAAGATGAATGGAGCACACGCAGGGTTACTCTTCCATGTGAAGGTTCTCTGAGCACTTTCCAAATTTAATCAGCAGCCCCCAGTAGTTTAGCCTCAGAAGAGAGACATGCCTGAGGAGCCCGTCACAGGAACGCTGCACGGTGACACAGTTCCATGACCACTGTCATTGCCTCCACGCACACGGCGCAGTCTCCAAGGCCGGTGCGGACACACGGCTCCTGCCTGAGGCTCACCGCCCCTGAGGCCTTCTGACCAAATGGCCTGACGGGGTTTCCCTGGCATTTCCCGCCGTTGGACGAGCCCGCGGCTCGCAGCCGTCCAGCAGGTTGGAAAGCAGCATTCGCTTATGCGAGAGTGCACACTCTGGGACGCAGTCCGTGCAGTCTTCCAGAGCGCATGGAAAGCCAGCTCCGTCACTGTTCCGCCTCCAGCTGGCCCTGCACACCCTCCCCACCTGCCCTGGAGGGTGACCCCGAGGAGCCTGGTGCTGGGAGACAGTCAGAGCCAGTACCTGGGAGCGTGTTTCAGCCAAATGCGGGCAGGGGTGGCCCTTCCTGTCTCCGACCAGAACCACGGGTTCTGAGCACCTGGCCCCTAAGGAGTCCTGCTCCCATAATCCCGAGTCACCTTGCTCCTGCCCTGGTGCCTTGGGAGAAGAAATCCCTCAACGTGGTCTTCCAGAGGGAAACAGTGGTGTGGGGATGTGGGACCAAAATCTCTTCTGACAAAGAGCGTTGGTCCTTTGTCTCCATAACGGCCCCAGCACAGCACGGCGAGGGCACAGGTCTGCCCTGGAACACGTGCACCCCTCCAGCTCCCCCCTTTCCACCAGCACATCGAGTTCGGACGCATAAAGCACTTTGTGTTTCTCATGCTGCATTTTGTCCTTCACCTTTGGTTGTTGTGTCTCCCTTTATCCATTGCTCCAGAAATGCTTGTGAAAGGCAGTATACAAACTATATATGACCAATATATAGCTACTGTATATAATATATGTGTTTGTTTTCATTTTCTCTCCTGTATGTCCCTCACCCGATTTAGAACTAAGTGAGCCTACAAGCTCAACTTTGTTGCAAGGTCAGTATCCCCGTTGCTTTATGATTTCTCCCTCCTCCCCTTTCCCCGTGTCCCCACTCCCTCCCCTGCCCCTCTGTGCTCTACCTGAGGCTCCTGTCTGTGCATTTGTTTGGAGGATGGTGGGGAAGCTACGGTGTTTACTGGGAGCAGGTGAAACCCCAGAGATAGCTCCCTGTTCTCTGCTCAATCCTTGCCCATACTTCTTCCGAAGGGCTTAGGGGGGCAAAGAAAAGAAACATCACTAACATCTCAAAGCCCAGAGTCGTAAAAGATTGAGACAGTGAGTTAGAACCAACAGGAAGTCAACTCCAACCCAGTAAGCAATTTTCATAGCAAGAGTCCTGTTGATGGCTGCTCAGCCAAGTAGCAAACACCGGGCACTGGAAGGTTCGGACATTCCCTGAAATGTACCACCTGGTTCGCAGGGGGCTCTCCGGGAGGAGGGAGGCCTGTGGGTGAGGAAGCAGTTGTCTCGAGTGGCTGCCACTGGGTTCCAGTTCAGACCTGACGTTTAGCCGTTCTGTGCTCTTGGGCAAGTCACTAAACGTTATTTAGACTCAATTTCCTCTTCTACAAAATGGAATTGATCTGCCTTATGTACCTTAGAGATGTTCTAGCGTTCAGCTGAGAATGCAAAGTAAAAAGGCTTTGAAAACTAACTGCTCGGTGCATTTGAATCGTTCAAGTCCAGTCCCCAGACGCGAGCTGAAAGACAAGGACAGCTCTCAGTGGGATGGCACAGGGTTCATTAACTCATTGCTCAAGGCCCCTTACAACCTCCTCCACGGAAAGCCCTTTCCCGTAGAAGACTCCTGCATCTCTCGCCTGTTTGCACGGCCCTTTAGCCTACTGTGAGTACTTCGTTAAGACTGTGACTAAGCATTCGGGCAGGCGTGGCCCAGGCTCAGAGGTGGAATACAGTGCACGCTGTGTGTGCTGTCCTCCTAAGGACAGTGCCGACCATAAGCTGGCCCCGCACAGAGGACAAGGAGCGGGATGGCTTTCTCGCCCTGTACCCCAGTCCCCTGACCTTACTCGTCCCACCTGACCCCACCCCATCCTGTTCATCCATGCACAGCCAGCTGTGCAGTCATTGGGAGGTGGCCTTAGGCATGGAGGGTGGGGCAGGAGGTGGAAGGAAAGCATTATCTGGGGGCTGTTTGACAGATGAAGACAAAGACTGTCACGAAGAAAAACCCAGGGCTGCACTATTCACTTTAGTGATGCAGGGCGCCTTGGGGATGAGCCCAACCAGGACAACGGAAGGAGGGAAAGGAGGGAAAAGGAAACTCAGTGGAAACATTCAGGTTCCACTTAAGATCTGACTTACACTCTTGAACCTCCGTGTGAGGCGTATTCGCAGATCTGAGACAGAGATTGGAAAAGCGCCTGCCATACACCGTGCAAGGAGTGTGAAGACGAGCGGAGACGCAACTGCTCCGAGATGTGCTTTCAGAAGTGACTAAGCTCGTTCTGATCACCCAGTTCTTCAACCTCAGAGGGAGCAGGGCCTCTTAGAACAGGTAGTGGTTGCTAAGGAGGTCGTTCTTAACTGAAGGAGTACTCAGCTGATGGGAAGCACTCTGCCACACCAAAGACCAGAACAAAGCCAAGCAGCCAAGCAAATCCCTGCCTGTCTGCTGAGCTGGGCACCAGGAGCAGGGACTTGCTTCAGTGTCGGGCGCCACCTGCTAAGACAGCTGCCCTGCCTCACTCCTTCAGCCTCTGCCGTGCCACTGGGTGAGAGAGCCCTGTGCCGGCTCTCTCCTCGCTTCTCGGGGTGCTTCCCACCCCTCATTCTTCTTTTAAAGTTATTTTTATTTATTTTAATTTTTTTTTATCGATTTTAGAGATAGAGGAAGGAAGAAGGAGAGAGATAGAAGCATCGATGAGAGAGAACATCGATTGGCTGCCTCCTGCACGCCCCCCACTGGGGATCGGGCCCACAACCTGGGCATGTGCCCTGACCGGGAATCGAACCGGTGACCTCATGGTGCAGGGTCGATGCTCACCCACTGAGCCACACCGGCTGGGCTCATTATTCTTACTGAAGGCAAAGCAATGGGACAGGGCCACAGCTGTAGATTGCAGACATCTGGGACACTCCACCACTTGGACTGGTGTGGTTTTCGGGAAG